TCAGTTGCTCCCAAGAAGGGCCTGACACTCGATGACCTCATCGCGGCCATCGACCGACATGAAAGGAACCTGAGCAACATCCCAAAGGTCGATACTTTCCATTTCTGTGGAGGGAGAGTCTCAGAATGGCTAGAGCGGGTGGAACAAGCTTTGGTCGGGCAGTCGGATGTTGTAAAGTTTCAACGCATCCTTCAGTATGTCCTCCACAGCTACCATCAGGAGGTGAAGAAAGTCACAGATGCGGCTCAAGGTAGCTGGGAGAGGTTCAAGGAGGGGATGCAGAGGAAATACCGCCTGAGAGACGGGTTGTTGACTACCGCGGACCTTGAAGCGATGAACAAAGAGGATTTTACGACTATAGGGGCCTTTGTTCAAGAATTTAAGAAAACGGCGCGGAAGGTCTATGGGATTTCGGAGGAAGCACAGTGCGCCATCTTCCTAGGGTTACTCACAGCGTCGGAGGCCGTCGAGTTGACGAGACATGGAGGAGGTAGCAATAAGCTCACCTGGGCCACCATTGACAGAGGGGTGGAAGTTGGGTGCTTGGACCAGGTGGAACAACGTCAGGTACGCCTGCAAAGGCAGAAGAGAAAGGAAAGAGATGCGACCGCTTCTGGGACCCCGGAGGTAACAAGGATTGTTACAGACGTATTGGCACAGCTAGGGTATGCGACAGAGCCGGTGGTGCAAAGGAGGGTGGTGACGGCTGTCGAAGTAAAAGGAAAAGAGCCAGTGATAGAGGAGGTTATTCAGGAGGAGCTCTGGGAAGAGGAAGAGCTGGTGCCGCAGCACCTGACGAAGGTCCAGCGCAAAGTGCATAATTTGACGCAGGGCGGACAAGGATCAGGAAAAGCGCAGGCGCCTCAGGCCCAGGCAGCAGCCCCTTTAAATGTGGCGGCTCCATCATCTAGTACGGGCCCCTCGAAAGGTGGGGCTCCCTCCTACGGACAGTGGCCCTGGCCGGTGATCAATGCAATTGTGCCATGGGGAAGCCCGCCGCCAGTAGCCGGACCGCAAACGAGTATGCCACCACCCATCTACCCCGCGGCCCAGGCCCAACCTGTGGCCCCGCCACTGTCACCTGATCCCAGTTCACAGGGCAGTGTTGTAGGAGGTGGGAACCAGGGGCAGGGCAATCAAGGCAACGGAGGGAGGGGTGGAGGAAGGGGGCGAGGCAGGAATGACGGCCGAAGAGGAAGGCAATGGAATGGCCAAGGCCAGGGGTACCAAGGCCAAGGGAGTCAAGGCCAGGGGTACCAAGGCCAAGGGAGTCAAGGCCAAGGGTACCAAGGCCAGGGGGATCAGGGAAGTTAGGGGTATGGAAGACCCCGTTTTGACTGGAGGACGGCCATCTGTCAACATTGTGACCAGCAAGGCCACACTATAAGGTTCTGTAATATAAGACGGGAATACGAGAGAAGCGGACTGATTTCCTCCACTATGGATGGGAATATCTACGATCAGTTTGGGGAGGCCATTGACCGAAGGCTTGGAAGAGTGAGGGTTGAAGCCCAACGAAGAGCGGCAGCAGGGCCGCCACCCCCTGCCATGTTCACGCTATGGCAGGAAAAGGAGGAACCACCGATTGGGGTGGAAGAAGTAGGAAGCGATGAGGAAGTGACTCAAGGGTTATGAGGAGGAAGTGAGACGGAAGAGGCCATAATCATCGAGTTAGATGACGAGGATGAGGAGGAAAGAACGGAGCCTCCGTCCGTCTTATTTGAGAAGATGGAGGACTTGCTGGATAAGATGGGGAGGTACCAACAGAAGTTGGTGAGCCTCTGTGAGGAAGTGAAGGGATGGAGGTCTAACATCCCCACAGTATTCCTCTATGACTCCGGCTCGGAGTCAGCGCCTGGGCGATCCGGAGTAAATGTGGTGGGGTCGTGCCCACAATCGGGAATGAGGGGGAGACCCCTCACTCCGTAGGCCCGGCTGGCACAGGCAGCGCGAACGAGGAATCAAGCCAAGGCCAGTGCCAGCCAAGAGCCTCCAAGGAGGGAACCCGAACCAGGGAGAAGGAAAGAGGCTGTGGAAGTAGAGGACGACGATGATGAAGAGGAAAAGGACGACAGGCTGTGCAGAGAAGAGGATCAGAGAGTGGAGCAGCGGGCAAGAAAAAAGGGAACCAGGGGAGAGGCCGAACCGGTCATACATGACGGACCGCCCAAAAAGAAGAAATACGCGGTCCGGTTGGAAGAGGGATTGGACGTAGAGAAGGTGATTGACTGGCTGCTGGAAGGGCATAATGACCTCATGACCCTGAAGGAAATCCTAGCGTCAGCCCCGCGGCTCCGCGATGAACTGAAGGGGAGGTTATCAAGGCGCCTGGTGCCCAATGTCCATCTGGGTACGATCCTGCCCAAGGAGGCAGAGTGGGCAGAGTCAGGTACGAAGATGGACTGGAAGTGCGTAGCCTGCGGTATGTTGGATTTGATGGTGAAGGGTTCCAAGTGCGCAACAATGGTGGACACCGGGGCAGAGATGAACATTATTCGGGAGGCGGACGCGATCAAATTCGGGCTGGTATAGACCGTTCTGACTGCGGTATTCTGCATGGAGCCAGCTGTAAGGCCGTGTTTTGCGGGACAGCCTCGAATGTGCTCGTCGAGGTTGGAAAGGTGAAGGTCAGGGCATGCTTCTTCATAATGCCGGACGTGGACCATGGAATCCTCCTGGGGAGGTCATTCCTAAGCAGGACAGAGACCGTGATGTTCAACAAACATGATGGGACGTTGATCCTCCTCTTATGCGATCCTGCCTGCGGGAATTATGAAATAATTACTTCCAGGAACACCGGGCCAAGGAGTATTAGGAACCGGCCCAATCCAGGATCATTCACAATCGAGGAGTCGGAAGGGGAGCGTAGGAGGCTCTGGGAAGAGCCCGAAGCAGGAGAGAGGGTGAAAGCATTTTCCCTCAGCCTGTCAGATGTTGGGAAGGCCATGGACCTGGTGGCCTCGCATGAGATGGCAGATCCGGATGCCATCCAGGCCTTGAGGGAGCAAGTTCTGGAATGCCCTGAGGCAGGAAGGTTGGAATTGGTATATCGGCTCCCAGGCAGCGGAGGGMACCCCGCATCAGCGCAAACACAATCCGTGAGTCGGCCTTTTTTAGGGGACGGCTTAAGCAGGGTTCCCAAAGGCAGTACAAGACGGTAGACAAGAAGTGCCGCCCGGTACCCGTCCTCGTTACAGAGGACGAGGAAACATATTACGAGAGGGAACGGGGGTTGATATGACGAATGAGGGAAAGTGTTTTAGCAGGGCCATGCCGTATCAACGAAGGGAACGAGAAAGAGTTGATCATAGGGGAGTCTGATTTCCTGCTGCCTCAGGAGCGAACGATGATGGTGGAATTAATGAAGAGGAAGCATCGCGCCTATGCGTTTAGTGACGAGGAGCGTGGCAGGTTGAATGTGGACAAGATACCTATGATCCGCATCCACACAGTGCCACACGAGCCTTGGAACATGAGAGGGGCGCGATATCCCAATCCTGACGAGGAAAGGAAGGTGGTGGATTACCTCGACGGCAAAATACGTACTCACGTCGCCGACTATTCAAGCGGACCRTATGCGTCCCCGTGGTTCTGCTTTATTAAGCCTAACGGGACGCAGCGGTGGGTGCAGGATTTGCAAAGACTGAATGAAGTGACAGTGCGAGATGCTGGAGGACTGTCGAATGCAGACGCGCTGTCGGAATCCTGTACTGGAAGACCTATAATTTCGCTTATAGACCTTAACTCAGGATACGATCTGTTTCCAGTCTACCCGCCGGATAGGCCGGTGACGGCTATGCACACGCCGCGAGGATTAGTCCACATGGACGTGGCCCCACAAGGGTGGACCAACGCAGTAGCAATGGTCCAACGGGCCATGATTCGGGCCATGCAGTCAGTCAGCTCCCATATCACACAGCCATACATCGACGATTTAGCAGTGAAGGGGCCGGCGATGAAAGAGAGCGACGAAGTCTCACTTGGGGTAAGGCGCTTTGTCTGGAAACACATCCAGGACCTCGAAAAGGTCCTGAGCCTGCTCGAAGAGCATAACCTCACGGCAAGCGGGGCCAAATCCAGACACTGCATGAGGGAAGCGACTATCTTGGGGATCGTCTGCATTGAGAAGAGCCGAAGGCCGGATGTGAAGAAGACGGACAAGATTACTGAGTGGCCAGTTCCGTTCCACTCAATAACTGATGTCAGGAGCTTCCTTGGTACGTGTGGATTTTGGAGGGCCCTCGTCAAGAACCTTGCCGCTAAGACTGAACACTTGAGGAAGTTAGTCCGTCAGGATCAGGAATGGGTATGGGGTGAGGAACAAGAAGAGGTGGTGGCAAAAATGAAAGAGGAATTTCGAGAAGGAGGGCTGGTGTTAGGAGCGCCAGATTATGACGCCACAGAGACGCGACCCTTCATTGTCGAAACGGATGCGGGACCGACTGCCTTAGGGGGAGTTCTAATTCAGGCAGACATGGAAGGAAAGGAAAGGCCCTTGCGATTTGAGAGTCGGACTCTCTGTACGACSGAGAGGAACTACTCTCAGTTCAAGAGGGAGACCCTTGCTGTCCTCCACTGTCTGCGAATCTTCCGGAACTATATCTTCGGCAGGAGGTTTATTTTGAGAGTGGATCCGACCGCCCTCGCCTACTCTCTAAGGAATTACGTTCCATCGGATCCGACGGTTGCCAGATGACTGACGTACATCTGGATGTTCAATTTCGAATTGGAACGGATTCCTGGTAGTAAGAACCGGGCGGACGGGCTGAGTCCGATCAACTAGGATAAACAGGAAGGGGAGGCGGTGGAGAATACGCCCCTAGTTGATGGATTTCTGGATCAGGAAGAAGATGTTCGTCTTCATATCAACAAGTGGGCGCCGCGAGTGCCCAGCTGTGTAGGCTATCCTATCTGGCAAGCGCGGAAGGGGCATGAAAGGAGGAATGAGCTAGTCCTTAAGCCCTTTGAGGAAGAAGATCCCTGGGGCGGTAAGGATGTTCAGTGGATGATGGAGTTAGCGCTGGCCAGCTCGCATAGCCTGGTGGAGGATATGAGAACGATTGAGGAAGGACCTGGCCAGGTAGAACGGCATGAGGACCTGATGGGAGGAATGTATCTCCTCGTCAACACGTTATTGCAGGAAGGTCTCGACCAGTCAGGCTCGTTGAACTCGACAGGAAATGTGGACGAAGTGCCCGAGAGCCAGGACGACGAGTTCGAGGAGGGGGAGATTAAGGAGGCTTTTCGTGCAGAGGAGTACGACGGGATCTACCTAGAAGTGGGGCTGCTTCTGTCATGTGAAATGCGGCTAAGGGATGCAAGCGATAGGACTCAGAGGATGCTGCAGCGCTACTTAGTGCGAGGCGGCCACCTTTTCGTGAGAAGAGAAGTGGGGAATCCCAGGAGGGTCGTCTGCGGTAGGAATCGTCAGATCGACGTCGTAACAGCACTTCTCGATGGCATTGCAGGAGGGCATCGAGGGGTACAAGCCACGTATGCCAAGATAAGTGAGTTGTACTACTGGGATGGAATGATGGACATGGTCGAAAAATTCTGTCGATTCTGCGTGCCCTGCCAGGAGAGATCCCGTTTAAGGCAAGGAGAGCCGCTGCATCCAAGGTTAGAGCGAGAGGTGGGGGCCGTAGTGCATCTCGATCTGCTTCTTATGCCACTTGGGGATCAGGGCTATAACTATATCTTCGATGCGCATGATAACCTGTCTGGGTTCGTAGACGGGCGTGCTATTCGCACAAAGACTGGGTTAGTCTTAGTGAGCTGCATCGAGGAATATTACCTGCGTTACCCTTTCGTCAGGGAATTCGTAATGGACAGGGGATCGGAGTTTACCTGCCAGGAGGTGCAAGAATTGTTATCAAGGTATGGTGTAGCAGCCAACTACACCACGGCCGCGCACCCCCAGACAAATGCTCCCGTAGAGAGAGGACATAGTACCATTACGAGTCTCCTGGCTAAGTAGACCGAAGGTAGGCCTAATCAATGGCCAAGATACCTAAGGGCGGCGTCCTTTGTCGAGAACATTACAATAAAAAGATCCACCAAGTACGCACTGGCGACACTGTGGTATGGAAGGCACGCCACCTTCCCTATCGAGAGCTTTCTTAAGACATGGAGGCGCCAGGATCTGGAAGTTAACCTGTCACTTGAAGAATTGCTCGATATTCGGGCGCGGCAGATAGGAGCGATAGAAGAAAGGATCCAGGAGGCGTCTGACCAGGTGGCGAGAAGYCGTATGGACGATAAGGCTCGATGGGATCAATCTGCGCGGGTGAGGAAAGTACCCTTGGCAGTTGGAGATGTCGTGCTTCTCTACGACTCATCACTGGAGAAGCAATGGTCCAGGAAGCTCGATAAGAGGTGGTTAGGTCCCTACCGGATCGTACGGGTCGGAAACTTCGGAGCGTATCAGATTGAGGAGCTAAATGAGACTGAGTGGAAGGATTGGGTATCTGGAACGCGACTGAAGAAACTCGTGGCGAGAGAAGAGGTAAGAGAGACGACCTGACTGCCTTTAGAATAGAAGTAGCAGGGTGTGTAGGCTAGGTATGATGTATGCTGTGTGAGTGTGGTCTGGTCTAAGTTTGCTTGATTATCACCTGTTTTGCTTACCCCAATGTGTGCCTGTTGTCTCCTGCGCCTGTTGTGCAGGTCTGACCTTATGAAGACAGCCATGCCAAGAGGAGGCAGGGGGACACGGCCGCCTCGGAGGCCGTTGGGAGCACCAGGAGGATATGAGCGACATGGGCCTCGCCATCAAGAGAGTACTCCGGTATACAATGATGGGGACATCGAGCTATTCCTGGACAGCTTTTGGGATCATGCGAGGCGTATGGGCTGGACCGTGGCTCAGGCGATTGAGAGATTGAGGGGAGCAGGCAGATTCGAGGAGCCCATCGCGCGGATCCGTAGAGAGGCGACGACGAGATCAGAGGTGGAGTGGAGGATGCAGGAGTTGCGACCCTCGCGTGTGGGGCCTGATGGCAGGCCGATCCGCCTGGAGATTGGAAATGCGTCGGACTTCATCCCCGCGTTTGAGTGGTTCATGCAGGGGCAGGGCATACCGAGAGATGACTGGATGCAGACGCTACCACTWTGGACCAGGAAGGCGGAAAGGCCGCTGGSTAGCCAAATCAGAGACATGGYCCGGGACTGGGAGAGCTGYAGGGMACATCTAAGAGAGGCCTTTCGACGGCCAGAGCCCCCCCAGCCCAGAGTCGAGAGACGTCAGAGGAGTCAGAGGTCGAGGGACCCTGAGCCCAGGGAGGTGAGACYGTCTCGGGGAGGACGGAAGGCCCTAGCCAGGAGAGAGGAGGAGCCGAAGCGGGAGCCAGAGGTTGAGGAGCGAGGGGCATACCCTGAGTGTGGGTTGGGACCAGTGGAGTTCCATCGTTTTACTGAGGGTGGATTGAGGAGGTCACCAGCACACACACGGGAGGAGCCGCCAGTATCTAAAGGGCCGTTGAGGGAGTTGGAGACGCATCTGGATATCTCTCAGTGAAGAGCGTCGCCTCAGGGTGAGGAGCATGAAGAGCAAGTAGAAGGGGTGCCACGAGAGGAGGTACCACGAGAGGAGGTGCCACGAGAGGAGGTGCCACGAGAGGCGCAGGGTACTCAGCGAGAGAGCAGGCTTGGCGACGTGGGGAGACGTGCAGGGAAGAAAGTGATAGAGGTTGGAGAGGATACGCCCCCACAGACGCCAGCGGTGGGTTTGAGACTCGAGAATGCACCAGGGAGCACTCGTCAGGCAGAGGAGAGATTGCGGAGAGAGGAGGCCCCACTTCCTTCATCAGAGAGGGCTCCATCGCCAGAGGGGAGAGCCGGTAGGAGAAGAGAAAGGGCAGCTGTAAGGAGGGAAGCCTTGACCCTGATTGATAGGCACCTAGCAACTTATGCCCTGGAGCATCCATACGTGGAGGAGCCAGTACCTGCAGAGCCGCGCCAGGAGCCGTACCAACCCGAGAAGGAGATGGAAGCAGAGATCCCGAAGAGGGTCGACCTCCGCACGAGGGAAAGGGCGCCAGCTGGAGAGACGGYTGAAGAAAAGAGGGCGAGAAGAACCAGACRGATARATGAGATATGGCAGGAGAGGCAGAGGTTGGAGGCAGCGGGGGAGCTTCCGGAGCAGCAACAGGAGAGGCAGAGATCGGAGGCAGCAGGAGCACTCCCAGGTCAGCCACCCAGCGCGCCAGCTAGGGCCCCGGAGATCCCTGAGATGTGGAGAGACTTCTGGGAGCAGAGAGGAGAGGAGCTTCCTTCGCCAGTCAGAGTCGGGCTTGGGGTGGCCAGGAAGGCAGAAGAGAGGATAGATCGCAAAATCAAGTTCCTGGCCAAAACGACCTTTGACCGGCACTTGTTATTGGAGAGCGATCTGGCAGGGGAAAAATTAAAGGAAGCAAGTCATGGAGTATGCCTGGAGGCTATGGAGATGGAAATCTAGGAACTCAGGGCATTGGTGGCCAGTCAGGCAGCTATCATTGAGAGCCTGAGGCAGCAAACCCAAGAAAAAGTGGATAAGTCAGAGAGCAGCAAACAGGGAGAGCAGAGGCAGCCGGGACAAGTTTTGCCAGGACAACCATCTGTGGCAGGGCCTCGCCAAGAGCCACCTATGGGGAGAGTTATCATGGAGCCAGAGGAGGCGAGAGCCAAGAGACAGGCAAAGAGAGAGGCGTTCGAGTTTAGAGCCCCTACTGAGCTCGCGATGCTGGCAGCGGCAGGCCCAGTCGTACCTTTGGCGATTGAGGAGGGGCTACCGCCATCTAGCAGTGAGCCGGCTCAGGGGTCAGCAGACGGATCCATGGGCGTACTCCTTGAGGCAGTGCATACCATGCAGGAAGAGGCGAGTTTGTTTTCACCCGAGCAGAGGATAGAGGAGCCGCTTGAGAGAGAGATGGGGATTGAGGCGGAAGGTTTCATCGAGAGCAGGCTCCAGAGGATGAGCACACGTGAGTACGGACCAGAGGAGATTGAGGAGCAGCCCACGACAGTGCCAGGAGAGACACTCGAGAGGAGACCTCGGAGGTTGGACACGCCTGAGTACGTCCCAACGACAGGGGATTTGAAGAGCAGACTGGGATCTTGGGCTACTGGATCTGGGTCTGGGGGACCGGTTCCTGGGACAGAGCAGCAGGAGGTCGTTAGTACCGCAGCCCCTCGATCAGAGCAGCAGGAGGTTGTCAGTACCTTGRTAGGATCTCCTTCATCGCCATCTCCTCAGCCCAGGAAGAAGAAGTTCAAGAGGAAGGTAGATCAGCTATGTTTCTACTGCAAGAAGGACGTGCATCATGCTCTGGACTGTCTCGAGTTCCTTGAGGATAAGGCAGCAGGGAAGGTCTCAGAGGTAGGAGGTAAGATGTATGATAAACAGGGTAGGATAGTAGAGAAGTCTGCAGATGGAGTTAGGCCTCAGTTATATAGGCAAAACCAGGAGAAGTTGAGGAGATAGCACCGGTTTGTCTATGTGAGTGGGCGAGTATCTTGTGAGGCATCAGCTTAGGGTCTGTGTGATACCCTCTTAGACTTAGAGGACCTTTTTATTGCTATTAGTCTAGATCTGAACTCTAGTGTCCCTACTGAGCTGGGGTCTTGAGGTTCAGGGTGATTTAGATGAGGCATGTACATATTTAGGTGGCCTACGCACAGCTTTTGAGAGATAGATCTGACATGTATTCTAGGGGTTGTTATCAGTATGGGTTTGGTGTAGCTTGAGTTGAGTGAGCTATAATTTGGAGACATTTTTTGTGTGAGGCCTTTTTATTCCTTGAGTGTATATTATGACGAGGCTTTATTTCAGGGACCATTCATATATATAACGATCACTTGTCTCTCTCACATGTGTGGTTGTGCTCTGATGTATGATGAGTTTGTGTGGACAAAGTGTGAAGAACCTTTTATGTATCATGGGTACTGTGAATATGATTGTAAGCAAAACTGGCTACTCCTCGGTATAGTTGTGCGACCTGCCCACGGGCAGCTGATAGGGCAGAGTATAAGGGGAGGAAGCGCAGCCCGTCTGTGAACGGTTGTGAGGATTTTGAAGATCTATGAGCCCTGGAGGCTCAAAATGCTTACCATGTTGATTATTGTTTGCCTAAGTTGTGATGAGGACCCATAAGATGGTCTCTTTGTGATTTTGTTTATGATAAGCCCCTTTGGATTTTGGAAGAGCGGGTGTTTTGTTTATGAGCAGAACCCTTTGGATTTTTGGAAAAGGGGATGTTTTTGTTGCTGGAAGACTCACCTTCAAAAGTGAGTAAACTGATTTATGGCATGGATAGTTGTCTAATGACTAATAAAAGTCTGACGAAAAGGGTCACTTTTGTTTAGAATGTTTGAGAAAGTCGCAATGAGTGCAGGGTGAGAGATGTCTCAGGGTGGGTGGCTGCTGGCTCTGATCAAGTCAAGGGTCACGGCCTGGTGGATTTAGTGGTGATTTTGTTTGTAAGCATGCGAAGGGCTGGTAAATGTCTTCGGAACCCTGCGTATCGCGCAGTAGGCCAATGATTTTGTTTAGCGATGCCCCGTCTAACCACTGGTGCTAATTCTGAGACATATTGAAGAAAGGCCAAGCTAATGGAAAAAAAAATAGTACCTCTAGGGCGTAACCCCATTGAATGGCTGCTAGCCGGCGCAACCTGGCTGCGGGACCGCATGAGTAAGAGTTTAAGGGGGGTTGCCCGCCCCAGCGAAATTACTCCGCGGGATAGTGATGGTTGAGAATTTTTGGGGGAAATCCTGACTGAATGCTTATCAAGAGAAAACATATCGTTGCGTAACCAACGAGGGTACTGCTGCTAAATAACAATGCGGTGGGCCGTGGTCCTGGTCCGATCAGCCAGGCTATGATGGGCCAAGGTGGGGACCTAACTTTCCTGTACTAGACTGCAGAAAGAGCTGAGCGGATATTAAGTATACATATATACGTATGTGTATTTGATTGCGAGATATTTTTTTTGAGAAGGAACGCGAGAGTGCCTTCAAAGGTCTCGATTAAGGCCCGCGTCCCTAGTTTTTGCCAGGACTAGGGACCCCCAACGAGAAGCCGAAGGTTGTCTAGGACCAGGAAGAGGACAATTGGGAAGGTCTTTGGAACTTATGTGGTCAGCGTCCTAATTTCTGGGCAGTGAGAGACCTGGGTTAAAAACTTGGCATCATATAGTTGTGGAGGCATGGTTTGATGGAGGCCTCTACCCTGTGTTTGTCGGCTAATCGGATTGGTTCCTTCTTTCGTCAGCATTTGAAGTTTGAATGGATTTATAGCCTTCTGATTTGGCGAAGCGACGGGGACGTCGCTTAATGTGGTCCGGAATGATATTTTCTTTTGATTGGTACCTTTGATCGAGTCGAGCGCGCGTGCGGAAAACGACCCCGACGACGGCATTGGCAACCACGGCACGGCTTTGTGCGGTGAGCGGGGTGTCGTTGGATGGCGCGCGGGGCAATTATGGCACGGTATAAGCAAGCCGGCGCGGGCCCTGGGAGCTGCGCAGCCGGTTGTGGACCCATAGCGTCGCGCCGCACTGCCTTGTATGGTACTCCGTGGACGTGGGTCTCCGGCTTGGGCTCAGCCCTATACGTTACTACATTGGACTGACACTACGAAGATACGGGGATCGAGGCCAGCCGCCGGCGACCGAGGAGCAAAGGAGCGTGAAGGAAAGGCTTGAGGGGTTGATGGTCCTCATGGCCGTCCCCTTTGCCTTTTGCCCCTGGATCTACATGGCGGGCCCGACCCGCGGCACCGGCGAGGTGTCAATGATTCCCCTGGCCCCGCTTAAATCCGGTTTCACCTTCTCTTTCTTTTGTTCTTTTTTTTTTCACTTCTGTTTTCCTACAAGTGGGAATGCCCCGTTATACTTCTGGGCTTGGTACTACGTAACCCACGAGCCTGCTCGGTGGGTACACCGATGAATTGTTGAAATACAGGTCTGTGCTCGAATCCTGATGATGACATGTGATGAAAATACCAAGTACTATTGGGGCCGGTCAACATCTTGACGCCGTTCCCCGTCGTTGTTTGGCAGCCCCAAAAATCCTTGAGGAATAAATCAAGGGGCAAGCGCCCGGTCACTGGCGGGATACTGTGTAAGCCATGCCGGAGCGCTGCCCTGGTTGACCTGCGCTAAGGAGGAAGGTGCAACGCACTATGGGAATAGGTGCTAAGGCAGAGAAGTCGGGCGCCTCGATCAGAGAGAGAGAGAGAGAGAAGAGCACAGCGGGCCGTGCGCACGTCACCGTCGACCGGCGGACCCTGCTGAGAGGCGAGGCGGAGAGTGGAGGTGACGGGCGCTGAAGCAGCGCGGCGGGCAAGGCAGATACAGGCGGTAGCAAGCAGGCAGCGCAAGCAAGGAGTGGGGGGAATGTACCTGGACAGGAAGCGGGACGGGTGCGTGCAAAGGAATGGCGGGAAGAAGGTAAGACGGGGGTTGAAGTATGCGATGTCCTCGATTCTTAGCTAAATCGAGGGGAGGAAAGGGCGATGTCGGGGTTTTAACCCCGGGCGAATCTAAAGAGAGCTTTAGTTGTAGTGGTAAGTGAGGAGGTGTGGAGTTAGTAAGCAAAGTTAGTGTGCCATGACTATGGCGGAATGAAGGAAGTAGGGGGTGAAAATGCCATATCTCGGTTAATTTTCAACGGATTTAATTGAAGTAAGTTTCGATTTTGTAGTTTTTACCCAAGGCGAATCTAATGATGCTGTTAGTTTTAGTGTTGGATCAGTAGAACTTGAGGTTAGAAAGAAAGTAAGTGTGTGGGCGATGGTTGGGAGATGAGGTAGGAACGGGGAAGTGCAAGATTGGTCATTCTGTGGCGGGAGTGGGCGTGAAAAGGGTAGTGAATAGAGGTTCTTGGTAACTGCGAGTTGGATCATGACGTACGTTTTAGTGATGGGTAAGTGAGATTAGAGTTAGTTGAGAAATGAGCTGCGCCGGGTTGAGGGAGTTCAGAATCGAATAAACATATTTGTGTTTTGGGTAAAGATTCATTCTGATTTCCTTTGCTTTGTGTGGGTATGAGCTAGTCGGAAAGGTATGTGCGCAGAAAATGACTGGAAGCTATGAAGAAGGGGCGTAGCAGGAAAGGGGGGAATGTATGGGAGTAGAGGAGCACTTACCACGGGTGGGGATGAATGTATCTGTCCGCATGTTAGCACAAGATTCACTCGATTTTGCTCATTGCGCCGTTGGATAGAAGCCAAACCCGGTCGTAGGAGTTGGACGACTAGCCAAGGAAATCATAGCAAGGATTGGCAGATTGAAAGCTCTTTCTAAATTCTATGGGTAGTGGTGCATGGCCGTTCTTAGTTGGTGGAGTGATTTGTCTAGTTAAATCCGTTAATGAGCGAGACCTCAGCCTGCAGATATAGCTACGCCAGGATCTGTTCTCGTCGCCAGCCTCGTACACGGACTGTGGACTGTGTATCCACTAGAGACTGTGTACTACAGCTCTACAGGCCAGGGCTACAGACTGTGGAACAGGTGATACTGTGGACAGGACACACTCTGTCTCTGCTGATTCTGCAAAACTGCCAGGTGTTGTTGATGGTGGCAGTTCTAAAGACTACAGTTCCATAAGCTGGAGACTAGAGTTTACAGGCGGGGAACTGCAGTCTACGGATTACAACCTACAGATTATGGATTGGGTATCTGTGGGAGGCTGTGGAGTGCAGACCTACAGTCTGTAGACTGCGGAAACTGTGTAAATTGTGGGTTCTGCGGTCAGAGGGATTGTGAATTACAGAATCTGTAACTATATGAGGCTCGAGAATGTGATTGCGGCGCCGTACTTTTAGTACCGTTCGCTGTGTTTTGCTGCTGCTGTTCATTGTGGACAGTAGCCTGAACTGGTGCTATGAAGTACCACTACACGTTGCTGTGGGGTGCGGCTGCTGCTGCATATTGCTGTGGCTTGCGACGCTGTGGTTTACTGCTGCTAATTGTTGAGGGCTGGGGCCAGGAAAGCTGTTGCGGACTGCCACTGTGCATTGCTGCTGTAGCGGGACTATTGCTGCGGAATGTCTTTGTGTACTGCTATTGGTAGAATCGGCTACTGCTATTGCTGCGGGTTGAGGGAGAAGTAGTGAAGGAGGAGGTTATTGCTACAAGCTGGAAGGCTGTCAGGAGTTGGCTTCGGCTGTTTGATCTGGAGGTATTGTCTAAGATGTTACAGTTTGGCCGCCATTGCGGGGCCTTCAGGAGCTGAAGGCTACAAGGCCCTCTCCAGTGAGCCTGAGAGTTACCCTTTCTCTATTTGAGAGTCTCAACCCCTTCTACTTCTGCCCTTCTTTCTCTAAGTCTGATCCTGATCCGAGGGGAAGGCGGCAGGCGGGATTGCAACCCGTAGGTCCTCGTCGAAGATCGATTGCGGGAGCTCTGCCGGAACTCAGGAGGAGTTCTGGAGGCAAGGAACGGTCACGTATATTTGTCTTCCACTTATATAACCCACTAAATACCCATGTTTGTCTATCTCCCTGCAGTATGACTGTTG